TCATGTGGTCAGCGAGACTAAACCGCTGGTGGCGCAACAGAACACCGTGACGGAAACCAGAGTGCATGAAAACTCCGTTTAACTTCCCGCTGCAACAGTACCTATTTATCTACTTGAACTGGTGTGCTTTCAAATTGCTAGGTTGGCAGGAGCTGGGACAGAGCAATGGGAGCTCACCCTGTTGTGAGGATTCGAACCGCCAACCTTCTGATCTTATTTAAGTGGGTATGTACAATGGTACCTCAGGTTAAGAACTTTATTCGTTCTGGAGGTCCGTTCTTAACCTGAAACTGTTCTTAACCTGAGGTACCACTTTAGGTAATGGGGCCTCCCGCTGCCGCCATGCCGCCGGAGCACAATTTCTGTTCTCATCCTGAAGCAAAGTTCTTAACCTGAGGTAATATTTCTGGGTTAGCAGAGTCTGTAACCTGAAGCGTCTGTAACCTGAAGCGTCTGTAACCCGAGGTACCACTGTATATTGAAGTGTATGGCATAGGAGCAGCTAGTCCACATTGTGCCACACTTGTTGCAAACACAGGCTATATTTGGGGCTGTGGCCCCATTTGGCTTCCAAAATGATTGGCACTCACTCGCCTGAACTTGCTTTTAGAGGGAGGGTAAAAGGTAAAGGGACGCCTGACTGTTAAGTCCAGTCGTGGACGACTCTGGGGTTGCAGCGCTCATCTCGCTTTATCGGCCGAGGGAGCCGGCATACAGCTTCCGGGTCATGTGGCCAGCATGACTAAGCCGCTTCTGGCGAACCAGAGCAGCACACAGAAATGCCGTTTACCTTCCCGCCGGAGTGGTACCTATTGATCTACTTGCACTTTGATGTGCTTTCGAACTGCTAGGTTGGCAGGAGCTGGGACTGAGCATACATAAACATCCATGCCGGGAATACTCAATCTCTGCTCAGAGGCTCTAATTTTGCTCTCATATCTAATGGCTGATGAGCAGCCTATTGAATGGGAGTATTTCTTATAGCCATCTAAACTGAGTCATCACTGTTTGGCAATGAATTCCATAAATTATATGCATTGTATTATTTCCTTTTATCAAGACCAAAAAACCCTCCACTAACTCTGATACTGGTCTCTAGAGTTTGAATGCAACCAGACCGGACAGCATCATTTTAATTTCCAGAACTGAGATGTTGTTGTTTTTAACCAGTGGATCAAGCATGACACCTGGTGGCTGTGACTGGGATTAGCAAGCCCAACCTGGGATGTGTATTCTGTCCATGGGGCTTACTTCAAAGTGAAGGGAGCTGTTGGTGCTGTGGCCTAAAACCATCGGGCCTCTTGGGCTTGCTGAGCAGAAGGTCGGCAGTTCAAATCCCTGCGACGGAGTAAGCTCCCATTGCTCTGTCCCAGCTCCTGCCAACCTAGCAGTTCAAAAGCACGCCAGTGCGAGTAGATAAATAGGTACCGCTGCGGCGGGAAGGTAAACGGTGTTTCCATGCGCTCTGGTTTCCATCACAATGTTCCATTGTGCCAGAAGCAGTTTGGTCCTGCTGGCCACATGACCCTGAAAACTGTCTGTGGACAAACGCCAGCTCCCTTGGCCTGAAAGTGAGATAGATGTTGCATTTAACTGCCCATGACACCTTTGGTAAAGGCTGTTCTACAATTGGAGCACTCGCAAGCGTTTCCCAATTGTTGGTGTTTATACTACATTTTTTTTAGATTTGCCTTGAGATAGTCTCTAAACCATTTTTGTTGACCAGCAGCATTACGCTTTCCATTTTTAAGTTCGGTAGCAGCACCCTGGCCACCTGCGATTCCCAAGAACTGTCATTCTGGAGCATGATACCTCTGACAGTGGAGATAGAATCATTGTGGGTAGTAGCCATTGATTGTGTAAACACCAGATATACAATAGTGCAACCACAGTGTCCCTCGTGTCCTCCGCACCATCAGAGTCAATGGCTGCTAACATTCTGGAATACTTTAAATTCAGAGGTTCCCCTGTATAAGACTGAATCAGATAAGTGCTGGAGATGCAGTGAGACTGAGGGAACATTGTATCACATGTGGTGGATAAAAGGGTAAAAGAGTATTGGGAAATAGTTTATAATAATTGAAAAAAAAGGTTTAAAAGTACTTTTCCGGGGGGTGGGGGTGGGAATCAGAGTCCTTTTTGTTGGGGATAATTCAGTTGGAAATTCCCAAGCATCAAAAAGCTTATTTATGTATGCCACTTCTGTAGCCCGTGTTTTGTTAGCCCAAAAATGGAAAACAAGCAAGGTCCAATAATAATAATAATAATAATAATAATAATAATAATAATAATAATAATAATTTATTATTCATACCCCGCCCATCTGGCTGGGTTTCCCCAGACACTCTGGGCAGCTTCCAACTGAATATTAAAAACAATACAGCATCAGACATTAAAAATTTCCCTAAAAAAGAATGGCAACTTAAACTGATGGAATATGTGCAGCTTGCAGACTTAACATAGAGAATAAGAGAACAAGTGGAACATAGGTTTAAAGAAGATTGGAAAATGTTTACTGAATATAAAGGAGGACATTGTACCTATTTATCTACTTGCACTGGCATGGATTCGAACTGCTATGTTGGCAGGAGCTGGGACAGAGCAACGGGAGCTCACCCCATCCCGGGGATTCGAACTGCCGACCTTCCGATCTATTGGCAAGCCCAAGAGGCTCAGTGGTTTAGACCACAGTGCCACCTGTGTACCTGGGTAGGCCTGGCTAAACAAAGATGCTTTTCACAGGTGCTGAAAAGAGAACAGCGAAGGCTCCTGCCTGGTATTAATAGGCAGGAAGTTCCAAAGTGTAGCTGCTGCCACACAAGAAGATAAAGTCCTTACAAATGTGAAACAGGCATTATGTGGCACTCAAAACAGTCGAGTGGGCAATCATGTAGGTAAATGAGTTCATTGAAAGTGGACAGTTAGTTGATTTTGCCTAATCTCATTCGTTCAAGGTTGTGGGGTGTTTTTGTTGTTGAAGCCTCGCATTCAAACTGCTGAGGCCATTGCTCAAAGCAGAACAGATCCGTACATGGAATAGCCTTGAACGCAGAGAGAGGCTCATCACACAGTTGACAAGTTCAAATATTTGCTGGAAATGTGAAGAAAAAGAAGGCACCTTTTACCATATGTGGTGGAAGTGTACGGTTGTAAAAGGATTCTGGGAAATGATATATAATGAACTGAAAAAAATGTTTTATTTTAAACCAGAAGCTTTTTTATTACAGTCATATCTCGGGTTACAGACGCTTCAGGCTGTGCGTTTTCAGGTTACAGACGTGCTGAAACCCGGAAGTACTGGAACTGGTTACTTCCGGGTTTCGGCGCTCGTGCATGCGCAGAACACTAAATTGTGCTTTGCGCATGGGCAGAAACGCCAAATTGCAACTCGCATGTGTGCAGATGGGGCACTGCGGGTTGCAGACGCTGTGGGTTGTGAACGTGCCTCCCGCACAGATCACGTTCGCAACCTGAGCATGAAACTCACCACATGAAACTCACCACATGGAGAAACTCACCACATGGAGGCGCTGTTGCTTTCAATTCAACGTTTATTGATATACACAATTTTGTGAGGAGCCCCGGGGAGCCAAAACCTAAGGCAGAAGAAAAACCTCTGGAGTGGGGTGGCCCCATCATACCAGCTGAGTGAGGAATATAAAACACAGTGCCTATTTATTTATTTTTGCCAACCTTCAGCAGGGTGGCTGCAGGGCAGGACAAGTGCATAGAAGCTCACACATACCCTTTCAGGCATGTTTCCGGAAGCAGAGGCAAGGCGCTTTGTTAACAGGAAGAGAAGGCAGCTCGTGAGACTCTGAACTTTGGCATCACAAGGCATTGAAAGAGGGAAGGCAAACCTGGGGCTCTCCTAGTTCCGCAGGACTACAATTCCCATCGCCACCAAACCAAACTGGCCTCGATTGCTGGGGGAGATGAGAGTCTGGAGTCCAGCAACATTCAAAGTGTCAGATTTCCCCCCATCCTGTACTGGCAGGATAAAATATCACTCTTCTTCTGAGGCTGGGGTGGGGGGATGGCAAAAAAACAGGCTACTGCCTGGGGTAGAGGGACTTTTGCAGCTATTGTTAAAGTTGCAAAAACAAAGAGCACAGGACTGAGGCAGGGAGAAACTTTTGGAAACAACATTGGGATATCAGCTTCGCTCAAGGCATGAGGGTTTGCAGCAAAAGCAGGGAGAGGATTGACAGATAAGAGTAGGAAGAAACATCATGGACAGAATAAATGTCACACACAGGAAAAACAATGACACAGAAAGAGATCTTCACTTGCAATCTCATGTGTCAACACAAATAGAAGTTATAAATACTGCAGCTGTTGTAGAAGGGATTACTGTTATGACAGGAACGTGATTGAAATCAGTAAGATTTTGGAACACAGAAACAAAGTAAATTATCAAACCGTTCAATTCTAATTAAAGATTTTCTTGTTTTACAGAAGTATGTGTAATGTCTCTCGTATTTTTTCCGTGTAACATTTTTACAAATCAGTTTCATTTGTTGAGACATGGGGGGGGGGGTCGGGTGGCGATGTTTCTATTTTGCTTAATGTATGTAGGGTTTGGTGTCAGCGTTGCTCGTGCAGGTTCTCTGCTGTTCATTTGTGTTTCTTTGGTGGTGAGAGAGGTTGGGGTTGGCCTAGGGTGTCTTTGTTTGTTTGTGATTGGCTGTGGTGATCTTTGTTTTCATGTGTGAGTGGGGTGGGTGGGTGTTTTGGACCAGGTTAGCCATACTGATTTGTATGCTGTTGGTGGATTATTGTCACTGTCTTGTTGGGCTGTGTATGTGATAAAGGCGTCTTCTTCTATTTGTCCCCATGTCAGTTTCAGTTTATTGGTTGATTTTTCTAGTAGGGCTGTTTCCCATACTATTTGGTACCATTGGTCCATGCTTACTCCTGACCGGTCTCTCCAGTGTCTGGTTATGGTGTTTCTGGCTGCTGAAAGTAGGTGGGTTATGAGTGCTTTGTGGTGAAAATGGGCATTGTTGTCTTAGAATATGTTTAGTAGGGCCAGTTCTGGGGTGATGTCTAATTAACTCTCAGTATTTTAAAACATTTTACATCCTCGGTGATGTGGTTACTGCTATCCTATATTTTTTTAACACACAAGCCAGCATCATATTATTCTACATTGCTGGAAGACCCAGGGAAACACTTTTAACATAAGAAAGCACTCTATTTTCTCTCTTGCTTAGGGAAATTCCAGAGAAATAGATCGCAGCAAGTGCATAAATCCTGTTGGGCATTGAGTGCCAGGTTTCATCCAGCCCTGAGGACAACCATGCAAAGTTCACTCTGGCCTCGCTGAGGGATGGCATGATGCGCAGGCTCCTAAGCAGCTCCAGGGCTCTCCGATTCCGCCACTACGGCTCCACAGTCACGCTGCTGTGCGTCACCCTTGCGCCGTACCAGCCCTTCCAGTAGACGGTGTCCTGACCGCCGTGTTCGAAGCGAACAAAGCAGACCCCGGGACCGTAGTCGGCAAAGGTGTGGGTGATCTTGGGTGCAGGAGGAAGAGAAAAGGGCAAGAGGGTTAGAGGGAAATATTTGACCCCCCCCAAAAAAAAAGTGAAGCATAGAATTGGAAGGCACCTGCTGCCAAAAGAAAACGGACATTATTTATGTCTGCTACAACAGCAGCAAGAATTCTAATAGCACAAAATTGGAAAACTGGAGAAATACCATCTAAAGAACAATGGCAAGAAAAACCGATGAGCTACGCAGAGTTAGCAAACTTAGCGGACAAATTGCGAGAAAAGGACAACAGGGACTTTGAAAAAGAATGGGAGCCGTTTACAATATATTTGCAGAAACACCGAAAAAAACATGGACTTGTTGGCAGGATTTAAATAAACATTTACAATTTTTTTTTACATAAAACAAGGAACATAACACTGTGATATTATAGTATTGTATATAAACAGCAGAATGTATCATTTGATGTAATAAACCAGAAATGGAAGCTGAAGGAAGTCAACGGGGGTGGGGGTGAAAAATTAATGTTTAGTATTGATTTTGGATATTTGTTTTGAAAATGGAAAATCAATAAAATGTTTTTTTTAAAAAAAAAAGAATTGGAAGGCACCGAAGAGGACATCTGGCCCACTCAGGTCTGGAGAACCTTTGGCTCTCTGAAATGTTGCTGGACTACAACTCCCATCATGCCTGACCACTGGCCACGCTTGCAGGGGCTGATGGGAGTTGGAGTTCCGTTACATCTGCAGGGCCCAAGGTTCCTCACTCCTGATCTACATCAGGGTTTCCCAAACTTGGGTCTCCAGCTGGTTTGGGACTACAATTCCCATCATCCCTGACCACTAGCTAGGAATGATGGGAGTGTAGTCCAAAAAGAGCTAGAAACCCAGGTTTGGGAAGCCCCGATCTATATACACTGAGAGGAACTCTGACAAGACAACCAACTGAAGCGGCTAAAAATCCATTCAGCAATATTGGCTAACAGTGGAAGCCTAGAATCAGAGTATTTGGGGATGGGGTACCAAGGAGGTCACATGATTTGCCTCCCTTCTCAAGGCAGGATCTGCATCAGGTGTGGGGAACCTTTGGGCCTCCAGATGTTGCCGGACTACAACTCCCATCACCCTTGGCCACTGACCACGCTTGCTGAGGCTGATGGGAGATGTAGTTCAAGGAAGCAAGAGGCATCATCACAGCCAGGCAAAAGCACTCCAGGTGTGCTCCAGGTGAGAGATGCGGCTTGGAGAGGGGTCATGCCCTATCCTGGTGGCCTGGCTGTCGCGAATTCTCCGCGGTGCTTTAGCAGAAATGCTCAGAGTTCCCGGTTCTTCAATGCAGTATATTTGTTGCGAGCTATATATCTAAGGGATGCAGGTGGCACTGTGGGTTAAACCACAGAGCCTACGACTTGCCGATCAGAAAGTCGGCGGTTCAAATCCCCGCGACGGGGTGAGCTCCCGTTGCTCGGTCCCTGCTTCTGCCAACCTAGCAGTTCAAAAGCACGTCAAAGTGCAAGTAGATAAATAGGTACCGCTCCGGCGGGAAGGTAAACGGCGTTTCCGTGCGCTGCTCTGGTTCACCAGAAGCGGCTTAGTCATGCTGGCCACATGACCTGGAAGCTGCACGCAGGCTCCCTCAGCCTATAGAGCGAGATGAGCACTGCAACCCCAGAGTCGTCTGCGACTGGACCTAATGGTCAGGGGTCCCTTTACCTTTACTATATATCTACAGGTTATAATACACGAGCCATTAATACAGTCAAACAGAGCACCTGGCTGCACCTTAAGGCAAATAGGAAGACCTCTAACTCTCTCTCTCTCTGACCACACTCTTCTACACCACACCACTTACTGCTGGACAGGTTTCCCTTTTAAACCGATGACAGCCAATCAACTGACACAGCACTTCCATAGAAAGTACATCTGCCAGTTGCATCAGCTAGCAAACTCAAGCCTGCAGACTTACTATCTCACACAGCATTCTGTGAATCCCAACACTGGCAGAGATGCCTGAAGGGCCACTTTCAGGCTCCAGGCCTGAGATTTACAGACGTACACAATATATACGGGATCAGTTACTGATGTCCACAAGCCAAGCCGATGCTGGAAAAAGGCAAAGCGAACTGGGAATGCTTGCGACAGGAGACCCAGATGGGCAGGTCCCTCCCTCAGCACCTACCTCGGTCCATTCGCCCTCGTTGCCTTGCGGGACGGCAATGGTGTCGCTCACAAACTCAGCCAGCACCTCCTCGGTTGAAGACAGGAGCTGCACTTTCAAGTTGTAGAGGCAGCCAGCGTCACACCGGGCCGCATACCTGCAGGATGAGCCCACAACACCTGTGACTGTATAACTTGAGCATGAGCCAGTCATGTGAAGCTGGCGGCGGAAGAGCCAAACACAGCTTGAGGCTGTCTATGATGCACTGGGCAATAGATATAGGACGTAATATAGATTTTAATCTCAACGGTGGTATTTGACTCCTTCTAAGTTAGCAAAAATGTATAAGACAAGTACAAAGATCTGCTGGAAATCTAAACAAAAAGAAGCTACCTTTTATCATATGTGGTGGACTTGTAAGGTAATAATTCTGGGAGATGATATATAATGAAACGGGAAAAAAAGGCTTAAAATAACTTTTGTTAAGAAATCAGAAGCCTTTTTATTAGGAATTACAGGTACCAACATACTCAAATTGTTCCATACATAAAGAAAATACTCTTTATGTATGGAACAATAGTTGCCGAGATGTTATTAGCCCAGAGTTGGAAAGAAGACAAAGTCCCTACCAGAGAAAAATGGCAAACTAAGCTGATGGAATACGCTAAGAGACCTCTGCAAGCAGATGAAAACATTAGCAGGATTTTAATTTCACTTGTAATGTAACAAATACTATAGATAATATGGATTGATAAAAAATATAGATTATGGAATAATATGCAGTGTAAATGATGACATTAAGACCCATGGAGGGGATGGGGGGGAGTCTCAAGATCCTCTTTTAGTATCTACAACATTCTCACAGGTGTAGCACCTGCCGATGGGCAGTGGTGGAGGTGGGATTCAATTCTACAGTGGCCGTGTTTGCCAATTTCCCTGCCGGATTCCGACAGGTTCCACAGTCTCTCCACCCCACCCCCCAAACTCTTACCAGTCTTTCACCACAATTTTAGGCTGGGTGGTGTCCATAAGCTCCTCCCAGTATCCTTCGGCGCGAAGATCAATGACTTGCGACTTACAGCACCACCTGTAACATTTTAAAAAGGTTAACACGCGAGAAGAATGTATAATACTGCATGCCCTCCAATATGTCTCTGATGAAAATAGGGACGTCCTATTCAATAATAATCCAGTGGTACCTCTGGTTAAGAACTTAATTCGTTCCAGAGGTCCGTTCTTAACCTGAAACTGTTCTTAACCTGAAGCACCACTTTAGCTAATGGGGCCTCCCGCTGTCGCCGCGCCGTCACCGCACAATTTCTGTTCTCCTCCTGAAGCAAAGTTCTTAACCCAAGGTACTATTTCTGGGTTAGCGGAGTCTGTAACCTGAAGCATCTGTAACCTGAAGTGTCTGTAACCTGAGGTACCACTGTAATAAGAATTTTACTATTTACACCCCACCTACCTGGCTGGGTTGCCACTCTGGGCAGCTTCAACATATATAAAAAGATAATAAAACATCCTCCCTCTTAGGCCACTCACTGCTAGTAGCATTCTTGGTGTAATTCCTCTTCCTCCTTTGACAGCAACTGCATAACCTCCAGCTTTTCTCTGATGGAAATAGGGACATCCTATTCCATAATAATAATGTTACTATCAATACCCCGCCCATCTGACTGGGTTGCCCCAGCCACTCTGGGCAGCTTCCAACTTCAATAAAAACATAACGAAACATTAAACACTAAAAAACTTCCCTATACAGGGTAACCTTCAGATGGCTCGGGGATCGGATAACTCCCTACCGTCCAACATTTCTCTGATGAAAATAGGAACATCCTAAGGAAAAGTGGGACATTCTGGGATCAAATCAGAAACTGGGATGGCATCTGTAAATCTGGGACTGATCCTGGAAAACAGGGATACTTGGAGGGTATAAGACTTCCTCAAACTATTTGCTATTTGCACTCAATCAAATGGTGAATATGGGCTTGAATACAGCCCATAATATGGGGAGGAGTTCATCCTTCCCTCTATTTCTGATGCTCAGGTTACTGGCGCCATTTCTATTTTAGCCAAAAATGGTACCACCCACTGATTTTTTTAAAATGTAGGTCATTTAGAGGCGTCTCTTTTAACTCTTTTAACCATCTTTTAACTCTCTCTATATATACATAAAAACGTAAGGTTGTCATCACACAGCCCCCATTGGAGGATCTGTGCTGCTGTGTCACCCACAGGTCATGAGTGCCAGTTCACAAGAGGCCCAAACAGCACCACCCGTCCACAATAATGATGTTACAGAACCATAAAAAGGTATTCGGTTGGAGGAGTATCCAAAGGGACCTGCTGAAAACAGCCCAACAAGAACTGAGCATGCTCAGAAGACAGAAGGGGGAGGGCAGAGGGATCAAATGGAGTGACTGGAACCCTGAGTTGCAGCACTTTGCGCTACAACACTTAGGTTGCATGCATATTACTTCCCCCTCCCCCAAACAATCCAGGGAACTGTAAAAGGTAAAGGACCCCTGGATGGTTAAGTCGGCCCTGTATACCTGAAGGAGCGTCTCCACTCCCATCATCCAGCCCGGACACTAAGATCCAGCTCTGAGGGCCTTTTGGCAGTTCCCTCCCTGCGAAAAGTGAGGTTACAGGGAACCAGGCAGAGGGCCTTCTCGGGAGTGGCCCCCGCCCTGTGGAACGCCCTCCCATCAGATGTCAAGGAAATAAACAACTATCTGACTTTTAGAAGACATCTGAAGGCAGCCCTGTTTAGGGAAGTTTTTATGTTTGATGTTCTATTGTGCTTTTAATTCTGTTGGGAGCTGCCTAGAGTGGCTGGGGAAACCCAGCTAGATGGGCAGGGTATAAATAAATTAAGAAGAAGTAGAAGTAGAAGAAGAGGATTAAGTCCAGTCAAAGGCGACTATGGGGTTGCGATGCTCATCTCGCTTTCAGGCCAAGGGAGCAGCAGTTTGTCCACAGACAGCTTTCTGGGTCCTTTGGCCGGCATGACTAGACTGCTTCTGGTGCAACGGGACACCGTGATGGAAACCAGAGCACACGGAAACACCGTTGACCTTCCCGCCGCAGCAGTACCTATTTATCTACTTGCACTGGCGTGCTTTCGAACTGATAGGTTGGCAGGAGCTGGGACAGAACAATGGGAGCTCACTAAGTCACGGGGATTCAAACCGCCAACCTTCCAATCAGCAAGTCCAAGGGGCTCGGTGGTTCAGACCACAGCGCTACCCGCGTCCCTGTTAAAAGTGGCATACTGCAGATGGATAAGAAAACCCAAGAAGAGCCGCAGAGGTCCCTAGGGTCATAAATCCTGACCCCAGAGGCCACCAAGCGGCCCATAAGGAGGGGGTGACTGACACTAACCCTCTCCATTGTTGCTCCCATTCAGAGGTATAAAAAGAACTCCAAGTTTCAGATGTTCCACAGACGCATCTTGGCTCAAACCAGGCCACCTTACAGGGCTTTTGACTTACTCAAAAGACGAGACAAAGTATTTATGGACATCCTCGCTGGGGAATTCTTGCCCAAAATTTCCAGGCAGGTCCTCAATTGCCCAGCCATCACCTCCATTTTCCACATCCTGCCAATGTTCAAGACCCTCTGTGGGATGGCAGAATGACAACAGCAACATTAAAAATATATATGTTTATACTTTTCAGGTTCATACATTTCACAAATTTTATACATTTCATTAATTTTACAATCATTTTGACATTTCAAAACTTGACTTCCTTCTCCCTCTTTCTATGGTTCCTTAAATACACATGCATACACACACATGCATTTACACAGAATACTGTTCTACCTGGAGGGAAATCTATCAATTTGGTGTTTCCTCAGTTTCTCATTTTCACTGTCTTATCGTTCATTTCTCCAAAGCTACACATCACTTTGCAAAAAAGGAAAAGAAACTAGTCCTTATGAAAGCTCAATGGCATGTTAGTGTGAGTTTTTGCCTAACACACCCATTTCTGTACGCAATTGTGCCTCATCAGATATTGTTGGACTACAACTCCCATCATCCCTGACCATTGATCATGCTGCCCGGGGCTGATTTTGTTTATCTATTTTAACAAAATTGATATAGTGCTTGATTTCTGGCAGTTTACAAGAATACAAAATAAAGCATTAAAATTATCAGTTTTAAAGCTGCTTTAAAAATAATAATCCAAAGGTGGTAAAAGTCAGTGGGAGCTAAATGATAAAACACACACGCAACTTCTACGTGTCTGAACGGGCTTGGCTAAAGAAAAAAATGTTTTAAGCGGGCACTAAAGAGAGTACAGCAAACATACCTGCCTGATTTCAAAAGGCAGGGGGTTTCGAAGGGTAGATGCTGCCACACTATAGGATCGATTGCTTACCAGTGCAGAATGGGCATTTGCCAATTCTACAGATGGAAACGGGCATATATTTGGTAAGGTGATCTCGCAAGTAAACTGATCCCAAGCTGACTGTTGAGAGCTTTCTATACCAGCAGCAACTTCTTGAACTTGGCCTGGTAACAAATTGGCAACCAGGGCACAGCTCTGATGAGAGGAGTTTTTATGCTGACAGGCTTGCTAGTAGCCCTGCCACTGCACTAACTGCAGGATTAAGTGCAAGGCAAGCCCCACAAAGAGCACATTGTAGTAATCTAGCCTTGACGTCACCAATGCCTGATGGGAGTCGTACTTCAGTAATATCCGGAGGACCAGAATGGCAAGCTAAGCTGATGGACTGTGCCGAAATGGCAAAGCTGAATGGAAAGCTCAGGAACCAAGAAGACAAAAACTTTTTTTAAAAAAAATGAGGGAATTTTAATTTAATTTTAATTTCACTTGTAATGTAACAAATACTATGGATAATATGGATGGATACAAAATATAAATTATGGAATATGAAGTTGTAAATGTTGACGTTAGGACCCATGGAGAGGATGGGGTGAAGAAGTCTCAAGATCCAGAGTTATCTCTATACAGTGGTACCTCGGTTACGAACTTAATCCGTTCCAGAAGCCCATTCTTAAACCAAAACCGTTCCTAAACTAAGGTGCGTTTTCCTTAATGAGGCCTCCCGCTGCCAGTACCCTTCCGCCGTTCAGATTCCGTTCATAGACCAAGGTAAAGTTCACTAACTGGAGCACTACTTCCGGTTTTGTGGAGCTCGTATACCAAATAGTTCGTAAACAGGGCTCTTCTTAAACAGAGGTACCACTGTATATGGATAAGCATTTGGATTGTTATAAATTTATATTTGTAAAATCAAATAAAGTACTGTATTTTTCGCTCCATAAGATGCACTTTTTATCTCCTAAAAAATAAGGGGAAATGTGTGTGTGTGCCTTATGTAGTGAATGCAGGCTGCGCAATGATCACTGAAGCCATCACAGCAAGAGGGAGAGCTGCACAGCGTTTCTGGGTCGCTGGCTTCCCAGCAAAGCAGGGTGAGAGATGGAAGGGGCTCCGTAAGGGCTTGTTCTGGCTTTTCAGGGAGGTGGGAGAAGGGACGGAGGACAGCCCATCAGTCCCTTCTCCCACCTCCCGGAAAAGCCAGCAAGAGCCACTCTATCTTTAAAGAGCCGTGCCGAGCGAGCGTGTCTGTTGCTCTTGCTGGCTTTTCTTGTTTTCCTCCTCTAAAAACTAGGTGCGCCTTATGGTCAGGTGAGTTTAGAGCGAAAAATACAGTATTATCCGGAGGGCCACAAATTAGCCACACACGCTCACAATGTATTATTTTTATTCTCATCCTGTAGATTTACCAGCTCCGGCATGCCTTGAACGGGTCAGACAGAAATTCAACAGGCGCAGGCTTTTCCAGCCTAAAAGCACAGCGATGGGCAAAAAGTTTCACCTGCCAGATCGTAAACACCCTGGTGTGAGGGGGCCAAAAGCCACACACGGTGGGGGCGGGAGATGGCCACCCTACTGCCAACTCCTATTATTTTTCCGGAATGTTTTCTAGCCACTTGCCTTCGCCGTCCGGGTTCTTGATTAAATTCCGCTTCCTCTTATTCAGGAAATAGAGCGTCTGCCAGCTGTCGGCGCTTTCCTCTTCTGCATCTTCCCCGGCGAAACCCTCCTGCTGGCATTTCAACAACCAGAGGGCAGCTCCGTCAATCAGGTTTTTCCACTGGGAGCAGACGAGGCGACACACTAAGACCAGTTCCACCGCAGGGAGGGATGCGAAGATCCGGACCAGAAGAGGCTCTGGGAGGGTCTCCATCCTGGAGGAGAGAGCTTGCTACCAGACGTCCCCATTTCTCTGGGACAGTCCCCGGATTTGCGAATAAGTCCCCGGACAAATTCCTTCCCTGGAATGTCCCCAGATTTTATCTAATGTCCCCAGGAAACGCAGAAGCGGCAATCTCAGCAGCCCGGAGCAGTTGGCTCTGGCTGGCTTCAGGAGCTGCTCAGAAGTCCCCATATGACAGTGCTGCAGGGGCTCTAAGATGCAGTTTCTGGGCTGCCTCCACCTTCCCTGACCCCAGCAACTAAGCTGTGAAGGGAGGCTTCACACTGCCTATTGGAGCAGCCTCCCAACTCCTACTTGTGTGCAAGCAGGAGGGGGTGGGTATCTCTCAGTTAGGAAAGGGGAAGCCTCCCTTCCCAGCTGAGGGATCCCTGCCCCCTCCTGCTTGCACGCAAGTAGGAGTTGGGATGGGGCTGCTCCGCTCCAAAAGGCAGTGTGAAGCCTCACTTCCCAGCTGAGGGATCCCCACCTCGCCGCCACTGCTGCTCTGGGCCCTCCTTCTCCACCTTCCATGCCTGACCCACCACACACCGCTTCCCCACCGAAGAACCAACAACTCAGGAGCGGCCCCAGGCTCATGGAGAAAGGAGATAGAAGCCTTGGAGGAAGAGGAAACATGGTGGTTGAGGTCAAGACAGTGGCCGCCCCTCTGGCACTGCCATCGCTGTAGCATCAACATCCCGAAGGTGTAGTATTTATTTATTTATTTATTTATTTAAAGTGTCCCTGGATTCATTGAAAAAAATCTGGTAACCTTATGCTAAAATGTACTAGGGTTGTCTCCCTACTCAGAGTAGGTCCTTTCAAGGCATGCCTGACTTAGACCCATTCATTTCAATAGGCTGATTTCCAATGTTAGTCTTTCTTGGAACAGAGCCATTATGTTAATGAACATGCCTAACTTTAAAAAAATATTCTAAAGTACCGGTACTTAAAAGTACACACACACACACACACACACACATATAGGGGAATATGCGCAGCTTGAGGACCTAACATATAGAATAAGAGAACAAGAAGAGCATACATTTAAAGAAGATTGGAAAAGGTTTATTGAATATATGGGGGGAGGGAATTGTGTACACTTGAAAACAGACCTTGTGGGGGCCCGGACTATATTTTTTTTGGGGGGGAAATGAACGAATTCCTATGCCCCACAAATAACCCAGAGATGCATTTTAAATAAAAGGACACATTTGACTCATGTAAAAACATGCTGATTCCAGGACTGTCCGTGGGCCAAATTTAGAAGCCGATTGGGCCAGATCCAGCCCCCGGACCTTAGTTTGCCTACCCATGCTGTTAATGTTAGTTGTTTTTTCTATGTGTTTAGCCATTCTTGTTTCTATCTGTAAGCTGCCTTGAGTGCCATTAGGCAAAAAGGTGGATTATTATTATTATTATTATTATTATTATTATTATTATTACCTTGATGAAAAGATGAAAGATCTCTGCCCCCAAACCTTGGGAAACGTCTGCCTTTTTGGAGTAGATAATCCCAAATAAATGATCCATCAAAAGCAACGTCAACTCAATACAGTCATCCATAAACCAGTATCATTTGATCCGGGCTCCGTCGACTCGTCTATCAATGATTTATTTATGTTTCTAGAAACGAACTTGCCTATTCTAATTTTTTAATGGGGTAAAGTTGGGAGAGGAAGGGCATTTTTGCAAGGGCTCACGTACCTTCAAGACGTCCGGATTTTCAAGGCTGGGGAGGTAAGGAGTCTGCAGGCGGGCGAAAAGGTGGATTTTGCAGGAGGGGGGTGGGAAAGAGAGAGGAGCTGGTGCTTTCTGTCTGCTAGCGCAGCATCGCAGTGGTCCCTTTCCTTTCCGTGACACAGCAAGTCTCTGATGTCCCAGCCTCGTCAGCAAGGTTAGAGAAGAGGAGGAGAGATTTTTTCTGGGGCGTCAGACTCCGCCTCTGGAGCGGGACTGGTCTGATCTTGTCTGTCGCAGGCAAGTAACTTCAGATCTTGGCTCTTGTTCCCTGTGGCAGAGAGAGAGAGAGAGAGAGAGAGCATGCAGACGAACCAACGCAAGCATCAAACCAGGAAAACGTGCCCTGCAAGACCGAAGTTCGCCTTCTCTAGGAGAATGTTTGCAGTTTACACTTCCAAACCAGGAAAACGTGCCCTGCGAGGAAAATCTTTGCATTGACACTTCCAAAGGCAGTCCCAAGGAAGATGGAGCAAGCTCGTTTGGGTGGGGCCAAAACCAACGGATTCAAACTACAGTGGTACCTCGGGTTACAGACGCTTCAGGTTACAGATGCTTCAAGTTACAGACGCTTCAGGTTACAGACTCCGCTAACCCAAAAATAGTACCTCGGGTTAAGAACTTTGCTTCAGGATGAGAACAGAAATCGTGTGGCAGCGGCACAGTGGCAGCAGGAGGCCCCATTAGCTAAAGCGGTGCTTCAGGTTAAGAACAGTTTCAGGTTAAGAATGGACCTCCAGAATGAATTAAGTTCTTAACCCGAGGTACCATTGTACAAAAAAGGAGATTCTGACTCAACCTTAGGGAGAACTATCTGAAGCTGAACCGACTCCCTCAGAAGAGGGTGGTGTTAAAAGAATTCTAAGGTCTCAAGTATAAATTAAATGTTCATCGTCTCAAGTATAAATTAAATGTTCATCATCATCAACATATTTATTGTTTATACCCTGCCCATCTGACTGGGTTTCCCCAGCCACTCTGGGCGGCTCCCAAAAGAATATTAAAAACACGATAAAACATCAAACATTAAAAACGTCCCAATACAGGGTTGCCTTCAGGTGTCTTCTAAAACAGTGTTTCCCAAACTTTTTTGGGCAACGGCACACCTGTTTACTGAAAAAAAATCTCGCGGCACACCACCATTAAAGCCCCGCCCCGTGACGTCAGCGCGCAGCGTCACGCCGGGAGGGACGCACGAAAGTGAAAGTTTTTTCCCTCCCCCTTGCCGGGGAACCTCCAAGCTTTGGGGGTGGGAGGAGGCAGCAGAGCGAGGGACTGAGGGACGGCGGCAACTGAGGCGGCGGCGGCTGTGGTGGTGGTGGCGGCGATAGCGGGCGGAGGAGGGGGCGGCGGCGGGGCTTGAGGAGCCGTCGCCGGGAGTTGCTGCTGCTGTTGTTGCTGCTGCTGCCCGGACATGCCGGCCTCCTCCTCCTCCGCTGTCTCGCGCTCCTCCCTTTTGCACGCACTGCCCCGCCGCTCGGCACCACCACCGCGGAGCCGCCCCCGGCTCGACGCGGATCCTCGCCGCCGCCGCCTCTCACCGCCCGACTCGCCCGCCTCCTTCCCACGGCACACCAGCCAATGTCTCACGGCACAGTAGTGTGCCGCGGAACACCGGTTGGGAAACACTGTTCTAAAAGTCAGGTAGTTGTTTATTTCCTTGACATCTGATGGGAGGGCATTCCACAGGGCAGGCGCCACTACGAAGAAGGCCCTCTGCCTGGTTCCCTGTAGCCTCACTTCTCGCAGGGAGGGAAACACCAAAAGGCCCTCGGAGCTGGACCTCAGTGTCCGGGCTGGATGATGGGAGTGGAAGCACTCCTTCAGCTATACTGGGCAGAGGCCGTTTAGGCAAACACATACATAAGTATATAAGCCACATGTCTGAAATAGTACAGGAGAGCAATCCTGAAGCATATTGATAGTGTGCTCAGCTTAACAGATAACTTGCCAGACTGTATTTGAAAAGGGAGGTGTAAGCCCCTACAATCCAAAGACCAACTGGATCCCCCCCCCCCGCCCCTGCATTTCCTTCCTCCTTGCAGGGAAATATTTGAGGCTGTAGCCTAGGACTTGCCAATCAGAAGGTCGGTGGTTCGAATCCCCACAATGGGGTGAGCTCCTGTTGCTCGGTCCCTGCTCCTTCCAACCTTGCGACTCCACCCAAGCACATTTTGTCTGACCTAGTCCTGGGGTCCCCAACATAGTACCTACGAGTGTGTACCCCCACCCACTAGGGGTGCACTTTATTTGCCAGTAAGTGCGGGGGGGGGCAGGACAGGAATCAGCATTCACTTTCAGGCTTCCCCAAAGACATGTTATTTTACTAGGGAGAGTGGAAGGAAATATAAAAAGTACAGTACACTTACCGGCATGTTAATAGGTAAAGGTAAAGGGACCCCTGACCATTAAATCCAGTCGTGACCAACTCTGGGGCTAGGGCGCTCATCTTGCTTTATTGGCCAAGGGAGCCGGCGTACAGCTTCTGGGTCATGTGCCCAGCATGACTAAGCCACTTCTGGCGAACCAGAGCAGCGCACGGAAATGCTGTTTACCTTCCCACCAGAGTGGTACCTATTTATCTACTTGCACTTTGACATGCTTTCGAACTGTTATTTACAGCGTTCATGGCCCATTGAATAGAACTGAAACAGGGCTGCTTGTGTCAGAAAGGAAATGGCTGCCTTCTCAAACCCCCAGTTGTGGTCCCTCAATTCTCTGGAAGTCCCAAGCAGCTTCCATTGCCTCCCGTCCTTCAAAGAACCCAAGCAGCACCACAGAAATGGACCAGTGGGTTTCTGAAAGTGATTGATAATTGGGGGGGGGGGTTAGCACAGCATTACCTTGGAGGAAGATCCTCCCCTTCTTCCAGGCTGATTCCTGAGATTTTGTGTTCGTTTAAATCAATTCTCCATCCATGAGAATAGAGAGAAAAGAAACAGGAATGTCAGAATGTGAGGAATGGATCAGGCCCCCAGGCAGGGATGTCACATTTTTTAAAGCAGATTTCTAAAGATGCTAATATTTACACTGGGAAGGGCGTGGGATGGAGAACCTTTTTGCAAAACGGGGACAAGGAAACACCTAAAAGCAAATTTCTGTTCGTGTGTTTGTTATGTACTGAGTTGAATAGGATCCAAAATGCAGCAGTCTGATTGGTCCTAGAACAATAGGATTCAGAATGCAGCAGTATGACTGGTCTGCAGGAGCCACCCAATCCAGCTCCAAATGGAAGTGAATCCACAACCTGATTGGCCTACAGGAGAATTCCGGAATTAGCCAATCACGTGCAGCCCATTGTGTAAATAATGTATATAAAGCAGATACTGTACTGTGGGGGAACTTTCATTCCTCCTCCCACTATGAGCTGAATAAAGAGCATGAAATCCACTCTCAACTCCGAGTATATTTCAGTGTTGATCTGGGAAATGCAGATAACGTAGGTTCACATTAAATGGAAACGGCATTCATTCTTCTCTTCTCAAAACTTGCCCAAAGGTCAACACTTTCTTTGACCTTTGATAGCTCTTTGCCAAACCTGGTGGTACCTGAAGTATTCTTCTTCATCTTTGGCGATCACAAATAGCCGAGTAAGATTGTCTTCCATAAACACGGTTTTAACAATGAGTCCGTAAGTGACTGTGGAGGCCAATTCTGGACCTACATGACCTTCCACAGTGGGGACATTGGTTCCCGGATGGGAGTTGATCCTCTTAGCATGTTTCTCCCTTGCGTTCTGAGTTCGAGCATCTTCAAAGTCCATGACACTTTTGGCAAAGTCTGTTCCCCAACTGGAGCGCTCGCAGGCCAGTGTTTCCCAATTGTTGGTGTTTATACTACATTTTTAAGATTTGCCTTGAGAGGGTCTTTAAACCTCTTTTGTTGACCACCAGCATTACGCTTTCCATTTTTAAGTTTGGAATACAGCAGTTGCTTTGGAAGACGATAATCAGGCATCCGCACAACATGACTAGTCCAACGAAGTTGATGTTGAAGAATCATTGCTTCAACACTGGTGATCTTTGTTTCATCCAGTGCACTGATATTAGTTTGCCTGTCTTCCCAAGTGATGTGTAAGATTTTTCGGAGACACTGTTGATGGAATCTTTCAAGAAGTTGGAGATGGCATTTGTAAGTGGTCCATGTTTCACAAGCATACAGTAAGGTTGGTAGTACAATAGCTTTGTAAACATGTATATGCAGGTTCTAGCAAGACCCAAGGCAGTGATTCAGCTTAAAGGTTTTATTGCGGCCCTGGGAACAGAAAGGGGGAAAGGGTCTGATTTCTAAACTCTTTAGCCAGCCCCTGGTGACACCCACCTAGGGCATGACTAGCTGCTTTGTGCCAGGCAGTGAATCACAATGCAGGTTTGAGATTCTTGGCCTGCCGTGTGATGCGGACTCAAGCTCAGAGCAGGAGACACTAAGGAAAGTACATAACAGGACCAGTATGCTATGTTCTAGAGAGAAGTCCACAGAAAATGATGATAATAATTAATTATTATTATTATTATTATTATTATTATTATTATTATTATGTTATTTTATTTATTTATTTATTTATTTGTACCTGGCCCATCTGGCTTCCAACAAAGACAAAAAATACACTAAAATGTCACACATTAAAAACTTCCCTAAACAGAGCTGCCTTCAGATGTCTTCTGAATGTCAGGTAGTTGTTTATCTCTTTGATATCTGATGGGAGGGCGTTTTTTCTTTATTTCCCCCCCAAAAAAACTAGGTGCGTCCTATGGGCCGGTGCGCCCCATGGGGCGAAAAATACGGTATTAACCATCACAAAAGAATAGCCAGGCTGCCCTGGTAATGAAATCAGTGACCATTATCACGTATCCTGGGAGTCAGGATTTCTGCTGGAGACCGCCTCCATGTATGATGTTTTGGGGGGTGGCCTTGGCCTACAGGGTGGGCAATTTCAAAAGTTTATATAAGGGCCTTACACACCATTGTTCAGTATTCTCTCCTCCCTCCTGCGTGTGGTGAGTGAGGACCCTGCTGCAACAGTTTAATAAAGATCAGGCTTACTAGCTGCTTTGCTTCTCAATATACTCTGGTTGGCCTCTGTCATTTTCTCCTACCTACAGGGAACCCACTTAAGGACTCTGTACGGACTCAGGAATACCCCATAAGAGAAAGGGAGCAGTGTTTCTTATAACAGTGGCCTCTCCTTCCTTGGAGGTTTCTAAGCAGAGGTTGGATGTCCACCTAACAGGGATTCTTTAGCTGTGATTCCTGCGTTGCAGGGGGCTGGACTAGATGACCCCCGGGGTTCCCTTCTGACTCTAAAAAACAGCTAACATGGCCAATGGTCTGGTAGCCAACAGGCAGTGCCCTCTAGCAGCTGTTGGATTATTCCCGTTCTAGCCCTTGTAATGCATTTCATTTCTGTTTTATTTATTGTTATACTGTATTTGTATCCCCTCTTTCCTCCAAGGTGGGCATATATGAGTCTCCCCACGCTGTGTGCTCTTTATCCTCACAACGACCCTGCGAGGTGTGTTGGGCAGAGAGACAGTGACTGGCTCGATGGTCAACCAAGGACGATCAAGCCCACTGCTGTATTAACAGCATTGGAGTGATCTCCCTGGGCTGCAAGCCTGGGCAGCGTGTCTGGAGGTCCTGGGCTGCCCAGTTGACAAGACCCCTCCCCCCCCAGCCTCTCTGATGTGGTCCAAAAGAAAGCAGAGCTCAGCATTGTTTACAAGGGTCAGCAAACTTTTCCAGCAGGGGGCCGGTCCACTGTCCATCAGACCTTCTGGGGGGGGGCTGGGCTATATTTTGGGGCGGAAGAATGAATTCCTATGCCCCACAAATAACCCAGAGATGCATTTTAAATAAAAGGACACATTCTAATCATGTGAAAACACGCGATTCCTGGACCGTCCATGGGCCAGATTTAGAAGGCGATTGGGCCGGATCCGGCCCCCGGGCCTTAGTTTGCCTACCCATGGTTTACAGTGCTAGGGGTCAGAAAACTTTTTCAACAGGGGGCCAGTCCATTGTCCCTCAGACCTTGGGGGGTGGACTATATTTTTTTGGGGGGGGATGAATGGATTCCTATGCCCCACAAATAACCCAGAGATGCATTTTAAATAAAAGCACACATTATACTCATGTAAAAACACGCTACTTTCTGGACCATCCATGGGCTGGGATTTAGAAGGTGATTGGGCCGGATCCGGCCCCCAGGCCTTAGTTTGCCTACCCATGGTTTACACTGACCAGCAGCAGCTCTCCCACCTGAAGATGCTGAGGATCAAACCCACGACCTTTCTGCGTATGAGGCAGCCATTTACCACTGAGCCACAGCTCTCCCATCCTGTTTCATACCCAGGACATACATGCGAGTCGAGTACTTTATTGATATTCTTTAAAACTTCCCCTTAAAAAATAAAAATCCAATGATAACTTTTAAAATGCAGACATACAGCTTCAGAGGATAGGCTTCTTAAGCAGGGACCACAACCAGCATCCCAGATCCGTAGGGACACTGAGAGAACCCCAGGTGAGGTGGGTTCAAGCAGCTGAACAACCCTTTCTTTCTCTTCAGGGTGTTTTCTTCTTCTTCTATGGGAAGTTCGGGCCCACGATGATGCTGCTGTTGGCAAGCTTTCCATAGTCCACGCCGTGCTCAAAATGGATGTGGCGGACTCCGCTGGGGTAGTTGCGGAAGATGTACACAGTCTGGAAATTTGGGGTGGAGAGGGAGAAGGAGTTTTCACCAGAGCCCAGGAACAGGTGGGTGCAGCTGTATTGAAGTAGCAACAGGTGTCAGGATTTTGCGCCTCCTTCACAACTTTGCACCCGGGACAACTACCCCATTGCCCCCACACCACCCTCAAGCTAGGCCACTGCTGAGCACAGAGTGCCAGATTTACATATAAGCTAAACAAGATATAGCTTAGGACTCCACTCTCTTGGGGCCCCCCAAAAAAATTAAAGGAAAAACAACAATTGAATGTACATTTCCAAAATATATGATAAAAAATAAATAAAACCTACATACAGCAACAGTGTTTTTTGTTGTGATGGCTCCTTTGATGTAAGTAATAGGCCCCGCCTACTAGCCTGCTCCCTAAAATATCACTGGTTTACTCATTTCTATATGCAGTGGTACCTCGGGTTACATACGCTTCAGGTTACATACGCTTCAGGTTACGCACTCCGCTAACCCAGAAATAGTGCTTCAGGTTAAGAACTTTGCTTCAGGATAAGAACAGAAATCGGGCTCCGGTGGCGCGGCAGCAGCAGGAGGCCCCATTAGCTAAAGCGGTGCTTCAGGTTAAGAACAGTTTCAGGTTAAGAACGGACCTCCAGAACAAATTAAGTTCTTAACCTGAGGTACCACTGTACAATGGACGCTTGGGTTGCGAACGTGATTCATGCGGGATGCATGTTTATAACCCGCAGCGTTTGCAACCTGCATCTGCGCACGGGCGGGTTGCGATTTGGCGCTTCTGTGCACATGCAAAGTGCGAGTTAGTGCTTCTATGCATGCGTGACTGCCAAAACCCGGAAGTAACCCATTCTGGTACTTCTGGGTTTCGATGGTCTGTAACCTGAAAAAAATGCAACCTGAAGCGGCTGTAACCCGAGGCATGACTGTACAGGGTGCCTACATTCTTCATGGACTGGTTGCATGGCAACATGCAGGATGCAGCTGCAGACTGCATGCAGCACACTTGAATGTGGGTCAAGCTGTTGTACCTGTTATCTAGTATTGTAGCAAATATTCAACACAAAAAAGAGGGACAATTTGTTGTTGACAAAGGAAAGCTGGACATATAAAGGGCCCCATTACCTTCAGTAGCTTAGGGCGTCATCAAACCCAAATCCTGCCCTGGCTGAGTACTTCCCCTGCCTTAAATCCCGGATTTACCTTTTTCCAGTTCCTTGTGCCGTCCTTGATTACCTCCCCATTCGAGATATAGCAGGTATAGAGGGCTTTAAAATCTGCAGCCAGCAGCTTCACGGTCAGTCTGTAGTTGTAACGAGGATTCGGGTAGAGGACATCGGACCTGTTGGGAAGAAGGGCACAAGGCAAAATCAAGCCAAGTATAAAAAGTATCATGGTTGCCCAATCATTGGCAGAGTAAAGACAATATCGTAATTGCTGCTTTATAGTGTGCAGATGAGAAAGCTAGACAGCATCTTAAAAAGCAGAGACATCACCTTGCCAACAAAGGTCCATATTGTTAAAGCTATGGTTTTCCCAGTAGTGATGTATGGAAGTGAGAGCTGGACCATAAAGAAGGCTGATCGCCGAAGAATTGCTGCTTTTGAATTCTGGTGCTGGAGGAGACTCTTGAGAGTCCCATGGACTGCAAGAAAATCAAACCTATCCATTCTGAAGGAAATCAGCCCTGAGTGTTCACTGGAAGGACAGATCCTGAAGCTGAGGCTCTAATACTTTGGCCACCTCATGAGAAGAGAAGACTCCCTGGAAAAGACCCTGATGTTGGGAAAGATGGAGGGCACAAGGAGAAGGGGATGCCAGAGGATGAGATGGTTGGACAGTGTTCTCGAAGCTATCAGCATGAGTTTGACCAAACTGTGGGAGGCAGTGGAAGACAGGAGTGCCTGGCGTGCTCTGGTCCATGGGGTCATGAAGAGTTGGACACGACTAAACAACAACAAGTGTGCAGATGAAGCCCAAAGGCTGAAGCAAAACCAGCTGCTTTGGAGGCACTCGCGGCACCTTCAAAACAAAAGTGGGGCATCTCCAAAGCAGGCAGCTCATCACACATTGCACTGCGGGGGGGCAGGTTAGACTGGATGACCCTTGGGGTCCCAAATCTACAGTTCTATGATATTTCAGGCCTGCTTCAGAAGGAGCTGTTGTTTTCTTTCTGGCCACGTAAAAGCAGCCATTTAAAAACACTTGTATTTATATCTTGATTTTAAAAACCACATCAATTTGTTTCTGATGTTTGGTTTGAATAGGTATTTGCTAATTAATATGTTAGATTGTTCTTTTGCAAACCACCCACACTTTCTCCCAGCCCATATTTGGAACGTTTTGTGTATCGGTTAATTCCTACCCACCCCAGAGAGCTTTTCTCGCTTTTCCAGCCTTGCCAAAAATCCAACTTACCCACGGAACTGAACTAAGCAAGATAAGCAAAGCAAAAATCTCTCTCTGGATTTTCCACGCACCTGATAAGAGAGTAAGATACAGTTTTCCGCAAGGAACAATGGGGAAAGCTCTGAGACCTGGGGGAAATTAACCTGTATGCCAGTGTTTTCCAAACTTGGATCTCCAGCTGTTTTGGGACTACAGCTCCCTTCATCCCTAGCTAGCAGGATCAGTGGTCAGGGAAGATGGGAACTGTAGTCCCCAAACAGCTGGAGACCCAAGTTTTGAGAAACACTGAAGTCCGCAAAATGATTAAAATGCAAAAGTGTGAATGAACCCATAGGGGTTTCCTGATGACCTAACCGTCAGGGGTACCTTTACCTTTAAGCAGGCTGTAAATTTTGCTAAATTACCCTCAGAAGTTCAGGATAAATCCTCGAACATGCCAAAACAGCCCTGGTAGGGGTTTTTTTCCTGCTACTCAAGACCTACCAAATCCACCCATCTGGTTGAGAACTGTGACCACTGGTTGAGAACTGTGACCACAGGACTAAATGGGGCTTTGATCCTGCAAGCTCTTCTGAGGCCAATTCCAGCACTCACCAATCCTGCACCACGATATGGGGTGTCACGTAGTCCATCAATTCATCTGTGTAGCCATGGTCCTTCAAGGTGATGCGCTGAATTTTTGTGTCGGGCCTGAGATGTGAGGAAGGAAATCAAAGCCATTTCAAGTACAGTGGTACCTTGGTTCTCAACTTTCGGAAAACCGGAAGTGTTCTGGTTTTCGAACGTTTTTCGGAAGCCAAACATCCAATGCGCTGTCAGCTATTGTTTCCAAGGCACCTGCACCAATCAGAAGCTGCGCCTTGGTTTCGAACATTTCGGAAGTCAAACGGACTTCCAGAATGAATTAAGTTTGGTGCTTTTGTTTTTGCTATTTATTTTGTGGTTTTGTTTTTGAGGCCTTTTTGGTTACTTTGTTTTTGTGTCTGTGTGGAACCCAGTTCAACTACTTATTGATTGATTGATTGATTGATTGAGTGACTGTGGAAATGGATAAAATCCCCCCAACCAAACAATGACTATCATCAGTGCAGGTAAGAAAAAAATTAATTTTAATTTGTATCATCTACAATACTGTTTTCTTTATTTTATGGAACAGTACATCGATTATTGCTTTCATTTATGGATCAATGGTCTTGTTACATAGTAAAATTCATGTTAAATTGCTGTTTTAGGGGTTGTTTTTAAAAGCCCATTTTGCATTACTTTCTATGGGAAAGCGTGCCTTGGTTTTGGAATGCTTTGGTTTTGGAACGGACTTATGGAACAGATTAAGTTTGAGAACCAAGGTACCACCATCACCAGCCCAGCTTATTAACCTTTTGTGCCCTTGGAGACTGGCAACCAGCCCTCAGAAGGCAGCCTGCACTGCAGGAGAGGAGGGCAGCGAGAAAACCAGATACCTTAAGCCTTCCTGTGATCCTTCTTCTGTCACCTATGGACATCTTTAATTTTACTCTCTGCTTCTAGTGAAATAGCCCTTGAGGGGAGAAAAGGAAACTGGATCTTCCTGCCTTACACTGAGTCAGACCACTGACTGGCAGCATCTATCGATCCTATCACAAGAAAAGCCTCTTCTAGAGCTACCTGGAGATGCTGGGAATCAAATTCAGGACTTTCTGCATGCAAAGCAGGTGTTCTCCATCTAACCTGCGTTCTTTTCTCTAAGGTTCCAGTCCTCATGAAGGAAGGGCTGCCTGCTGAGTCAGACTATTGGTCCATCTAGTTTTATTGTCCACTCTCTGACTCTGGCCGCAGCTCTCAAGGGATTCCTAGAAGAGTCTTTTCGCTGCCCTACCTAGAGATGCCAGGGATATAGGTTGGACCTTCTGCATTCAATGCAGGTCCTCCACTACCATGTGACCGATCTTCTAAACCCATAATGACATTTGAGGATTTACTGAACCTCTAACATGGTTCTCACCCATTGAAGGCAAAGAAACATGTCGTGATGTTGTCATGGGGTATTCGTCTGCTAACAGCTCCTCCACACCCCAGCAGTGCTCCTGATGCTTGTCGATTTCCCAGTAGAGAAATTCCTCTGCAAGAGAAGGAAGAAAGGAGGGCGTAAGAACTTTAAAAGAGCCTTGCTAGGTCAGGACAATGGCCCATCAAGTCCAGAATCCTGTTGCGTGCCAAGGCACCTGAGCCACAAAGTTCCCAGGAGAACAATAAAACACACTGACACAGAGTATTTTGGTTTATGGGTTCAAAATAGGCCACAACTTTATTGGTTACCAACGTGAGCTGTCTGGCTTAGGCACTGGGGTGAAGCCAGGCTATATCTTGACTCCTGCCAATCTGAGTGAGTCCACAGAAGGGTAAACAACCAATATGGGGTGCCCTATAACTTACGTTGGCGGGGACGCGGGTGGCGCTGTGGGATAAACCACAGAGCCTAGGACTTGCCGATCAGAAGGTCGGCAGTTCGAATCCCCATGACAGGGTGAGCTCCCGTTGCTCGATCCCTGCTCCTGCCAACCTAGCAGTTTGAAAGCACAAAGTGCAAGTAGATAAATAAGTACCACTCTGGAGGGAAGGTAAACGACGTTTCCATGCACTGCTCTGGTTCACCAGAAGCGGCTTAGTCATGCTGGCCACATAACCCGGAAGCTGTATGCCGGCTCCCTTGGCCAGTAAAGCGAGATGAGTGCCGCAACCCCAGAGTCGTTCATGACTGGACCTAATGGTCAGGGGTCCCGTTACCTTTATAACTTACGTCAGAGAGTGGCACCACTCTGAGGGGTCCTCGTAGGGGCTGTGATATGACCTTAGCCCACGCCTAGGCTTCGGACAGTACTCATGCCCCAAATCCCTTTAACAGGATACCCTTACTGAGGAGGGGCAGGCAAAGGCAATAACCAAAAGGAGGCTTACCCGATGCCTAACCTCACAATAGTTGCAACGATTGCTACGAGACAGGCGAAAACCAAATGGCCGGTACCAATTTGCCAAGTGGAAAAAATTCCGACCCGGCCCCAACAACATGGCAACCAACGGTTGCCATAGCAAGGTCACATCAGAGCAAAGCATGAAAACAGGGTGGATGGGTATAGTGGTGCAGAATGGTCAGGTGGTACCTGGGGCGGAACTTTTTTTTTGTCATTCCCTCCCATTGAAATTCCCCCTCCACCACCCCACCACCCATCAAAGTAAACCATGCAGGCAGCTCCCCATTGTAGACCCCACCTTCCTCCTTTGTTTTGACAGATCAGGGGAGGCTCGGGTGGGTGGGAGCTGCCCAGTTTTTTAAAAAAAACTCTGCACATTTATGTTTCACAGGGTGCGAAAGAAGGGCTTTGCACATATCTGTCAACCGTCCCTTATTTGGCGGGAAAGTCCCTTATCACAGCGCTGTGTCCCGTTGCTGTCCCTTATTGATGATGTCCCTTAAATTTCCCAGGTTTCTAAGGAAGCAGCTCCTCTCCCTTCCTCTCTGCCGGCCAGGGAGGAGGGAAGCTCCAACTGTGTTGCTTGGCTGCATTGCTCACCCAATAAGGAGTCTAAGAATGACTGGGGGGGTGGAGCTTGCATGCCTTGTGCCGATCAAATTGGCCGCGTTGCCTGGGGACTCGCCTTTGCTCAGCGCTTCCCAGCGGAGAGGTGACGGTGGTTTTCCTTGCTGCATCCCCTTTGCCGGGTTGCTGCGCTGTGGGAACCACTGCTTGAGGCTTCGTTTGGCTGCTGGCTGGACTTTCTGCCTTTGGCTTGGAGGGGCTCAGAAGCTGAACATACCTGTGCTTGGAAAATCCCTTATTTTGGCTGCTGATCCCTTATTTTCAAGGCTGCTGGTCCCTTATTTTCAAATCTGTAAGCTGACAGCTATGGCTTTGCACCTTTATACAATATGCATGTGTGCTTGGGCCCAGGGTCTTTTGCCTCACCATCCTCACTACTGACTCCCTGTTGTTACTCAGCCTCAAAAAAAAAAAAAAATATTCATTGGATTCATTGGAAAAAATCTGATAACCACAGGCTAGCTGCCAGGGGTAGCCCTCTGCCACCGAACAGAGACCCACCTTTGCCGAAAGGATTCCGGACAATGTTCTTCTGCAGCTTGCAGAGAAGGTAGAAGACCTTCCAGTCTGGGAAAGGACTGGTCAGCATCTCAATGGGGTAGCCGGCCCGCCTACACTTGTCTTTCCACTGAGCATTCAAGGAGTCCACCAGGTCTCTCCACCAGCAGCACACCCAACGGAAGCAGCGGAGCAGGTGCCACGAGGGGAAGAAGTCAAACACATCCAGCAGGATCTCCAGAGGCAGGTCGTTGATGGACACCATCTACTGTAAGAGAAGTCTTGGCTGAGAGAGGTTTTAGAGATGCAAAATAAATGCAAAGACAGGAGTCCCGGGCTACTCAGACCCACTCTCCCTAGGAATCAATAGGGCTCACTCCTTCAGAGAGATCTGAAGTTTACAGCATGTTATTCCCTGAAGGAGAACTACTTGAATATGATTTATAGATGGTATTTAACTCCAAGTAGACGCGGGTGGCGCTGTGGGTTAAACCACAGAGCCCAGGACTTGCCAATCAGAAGGTCGGCGGTTCGAATCCCCGCGACGGGGTGAGCTCCCGTTGCTCAGTCCCTGCTCCTGCCAACCTAGCAGTTTGAAAGCACGTCAAAGTGCAAGTAGACAAATAGGTACCGCTCCAGTGGGAAGGTAAACGGCGTTTCCATGCGCTGCTCTGGTTCGCCAGAAGCGGCTTAGTCATGCTGGCCACATGACCCGGAAGCTGTACGCCGGCTCCCTCAGCCAATAAAGCAAGATGAGCGCCGCAACCCCAGAGTCAGTCACGACTGGACCTAAAGGTCAGGGGTCCCTTTACCTTTACCTTTAGACTGGCTAAGATGTGTAAGACTGAATCAGATCAGTGCTGGAGATGCAATGAGGTCGAGGGTACTTTCTTTCACATGTGGTGGACTTGGAAAAGGGTAAAAGGGTATTGGGAAACAATCCATAATGATTTTTTTTTAAAAAAAATGTTTAAAAGTACCTTTCCAAAAAAAATCCTTTTTGTAGGGGATGATTCAGATGGAAATACCCAGGTGTCAAAAAAGGTTATTTATGTACGCCACTACAGCGGCCCGTGTTTCATTAGCCCCAAAATGGAAAACGAGCGAATGGCAACTTAAACTGATAGAATATGCACAGCTTACGGATCTAATTTATAGAATAAGAGAACAAGAAGAACATTTGTTTAGAGAAGATTGGAAAATGTTTATTGAATATATGGGGGGAAATTGGGTATACTTGAAAACGTGGGCAGCATTAAGATAAATTCAACAGTGTGAATAAGTTTTGATGGATGCAATAATGGAATACTGAATGGTTTAGTTTATATAAAATATGAGGGATTTATGCTATGCAAAATGAAACCATGGAGAGAGAAGAAGGGAAGTCATGGATATTTTAAAGTTGTTTAAATGAATATTCTAAATTGCAAAACAGAAAATTTAATAAAAAAATTACACACACACACATACATGAGTGCTTTTTTCCTTAAAAAATGTTTAGGGGTATGCTCATTTTCCTACTCATATTGAAATAAAAGTAAAGGACCCCTGAGAGTTTAGTCCAGTTGCGAACGACTCTTGTCTGGAGC